AAAAAATTCCTATAAACCGAAAGCCACGAAGCTATTGTTTGGTTATATCGATAATCACCGAGCAACGTGCCTCTACTTCTCCTTTTAAATTACTTAATTCCCCTCGACTCCTATAACTTTACTCCCAGAAACTTTCTTCCTTTCTTCTTCGTTCTTCTTCTTTTTTCAAGTTTAAACCGAAGAAATTCGAACGCGACTCGAAACGAAACGAACGAAAAATCGAATTTCGATTAGATCCTCGGAAGGGGCGCGCAAAGTTACGCCCCTGCTCCCTGCCACTTCACTCATCGTTCACATTTCCTCTCCCGAATCCTTCTTATTCGCTGCATTATCATAATGCCATCGGCCGCTACGTGACAGGAAAGACGTATTATCGTTCCAACTTCCCTCTCGCGAGCTTATCGCGTCCCTCCCTTAAAACCTGAACCTGAATTAACCATGTTACTGCTCCACCCCTGATGTTTCTCAATCATCATACTCTTCTCCCGTTTCAATAATCGCCAAGGAGAAGAGACAACAGACTTCTTTCTCAGCTAACTTGAAACGATTTCGCGCACAATAACGCATGAAACTTTTGTATCTTAATAGAAAAAGAGAGAATATTTGTCGAATGTTAAGATAATAATACTTTACAATCTTAATAACGTGCTCTCACATTCACTATTCATATTTTCCATCTTCTTATACTACATTTATATTTTTATCATTATTTTCCTTGTCGATTGTCAATTCCTTAATGAATAGAAAAACGAAAACCTCATCTTGAACTAATATCCCGATAACTTGCTCTCACATTCATCGTCTGTTCTTATTTTTCATCTTTTCTTACCGCACCTCAATTTTTACAGCGCTATTCTCTTTCTCTCTATCGTCAAATTCTCTCAAACGAACAGAAACAATTTCGTTATTCAACAACGAAAAATCAAAAAATATATTGCAAATATATTCCATGGTTACAAAACTTTGGAAATAATATTTCCATCGCCACTACTCGGATCAACGTCGAAAATGTACTTCGATCGCTAATTTCAAATAAAAAAAATCAAACGTAAATAAATATTATCGCCGTTCGAATTGCATCGATCCAAGCGGCGCCTTATTTTGCCTTATCGGAGCACAAAGGGTTAATCGTTTCTTTCCACTTTCTCTATTCCTTCGTCTCCAGAAGAAGAAAAAAGGACAATAATCGTTTCCAATTACTTTGACCAGAAAGAAGGCAGAAATTCGACGCATATACCCCTCTCTCACCCCTCCTCGATCCACGTGTCCCAAATCTGGCTTATCCACCATTCCCCGAGAGATCCAGTCCTAATTTTCAAGCAAAACTCCTCCACCCTCCAGTTCGATGCCACTTCGTTAACCATCGCACGGACGAGACTTGGCTTCGAACAACTTCCTCCCGGAAATAACTAATATCGTGGCTCGCCTATATATACATACACACATACATATCAAACAAAACGAAGAGGAGGCAGGCTTACATCAGGTTGGTCGCAAGAATTTTCAAAGAGTTTCCCCCTTGGTAACGGGTTTGAATTCCTGTCGGCGGCTCCCACAGGAACGAGAACGGAAACGGATGGTTGGCAGGACGCCAGACGACACCTCTCCAACTTCTTTCTCGCGCGCGCACGCAGCTTGGTCTCTCTCTCTCTCTCTCTCTGTCTGGCCAAGTTGGCCAGGCCAAGTAATAATCCTAACTCGCGGGTTAGCCGGGCTTAATTAGAACAGGGGTTGGTTGATTATGGCCGCGTCTCCGCCGATTCGATAACCACTCTCTCTAGCCTTCATTTTCCATTCCATGGACGGAAGAGGCAGCGAGCTGATAAACGGACGATAACAGCCCGTTATTGCGCCAAGTTATTGTCCCGACCGAGGAGATGATGGACGGTGGTTTAAGGCGCGTGGAAAATATTCGCGACAGGTGTGTGTTAACGTGGATTCCCGAAACAGTTTGACGTAATTAGGTGGTGTAAGCTTGGATTTGGAAAATTAGAACGAGGGGGAGGGGGCGTATTGTGCAGCGGATCATTGCTCTTCCACGTCTACGCGAATCCTTTCGTTCGAACACCTGAAAGATGATCAGCGGCAATTCGAAGGGTTGCTTTATCGAAGAAAAAATATCGATGCTATAGAGAAAGATACTCGAATTGTGCATCAAATGGTCCAATAATTGACATAATCGAAATTCGACAGAATATTGCATTTTTATGGAAATATACACATTTGGATAATATTTACAAAACTTTGGAAATAATATTTCCATCGCCACTACTCGGATCAACGTCGAAAATGTACTTCGATCGCTAATTTCAAATAAAAAAAATCAAACGTAAATAAATATTATCGCCGTTCGAATTGCATCGATCCAAGCGGCGCCTTATTTTGCCTTATCGGAGCACAAAGGGTTAATCGTTTCTTTCCACTTTCTCTATTCCTTCGTCTCCAGAAGAAGAAAAAAGGACAATAATCGTTTCCAATTACTTTGACCAGAAAGAAGGCAGAAATTCGACGCATATACCCCTCTCTCACCCCTCCTCGATCCACGTGTCCCAAATCTGGCTTATCCACCATTCCCCGAGAGATCCAGTCCTAATTTTCAAGCAAAACTCCTCCACCCTCCAGTTCGATGCCACTTCGTTAACCATCGCACGGACGAGACTTGGCTTCGAACAACTTCCTCCCGGAAATAACTAATATCGTGGCTCGCCTATATATACATACACACATACATATCAAACAAAACGAAGAGGAGGCAGGCTTACATCAGGTTGGTCGCAAGAATTTTCAAAGAGTTTCCCCCTTGGTAACGGGTTTGAATTCCTGTCGGCGGCTCCCACAGGAACGAGAACGGAAACGGATGGTTGGCAGGACGCCAGACGACACCTCTCCAACTTCTTTCTCGCGCGCGCACGCAGCTTGGTCTCTCTCTCTCTCTCTCTCTCTGTCTGGCCAAGTTGGCCAGGCCAAGTAATAATCCTAACTCGCGGGTTAGCCGGGCTTAATTAGAACAGGGGTTGGTTGATTATGGCCGCGTCTCCGCCGATTCGATAACCACTCTCTCTAGCCTTCATTTTCCATTCCATGGACGGAAGAGGCAGCGAGCTGATAAACGGACGATAACAGCCCGTTATTGCGCCAAGTTATTGTCCCGACCGAGGAGATGATGGACGGTGGTTTAAGGCGCGTGGAAAATATTCGCGACAGGTGTGTGTTAACGTGGATTCCCGAAACAGTTTGACGTAATTAGGTGGTGTAAGCTTGGATTTGGAAAATTAGAACGAGGGGGAGGGGGCGTATTGTGCAGCGGATCATTGCTCTTCCACGTCTACGCGAATCCGTTTCGTTCGAACACCTGAAAGATGATCAGCGGCAATTCGAAGGGTTGCTTTATCGAAGAAAAAATATCGATGCTATAGAGAAAGATACTCGAATTGTGCATCAAATGGTCCAATAATTGACATAATCGAAATTCGACAGAATATTGCATTTTTATGGAAATATACACATTTGGATAATATTCCAAGGAAAACTTGAAAGTGGACAGAGAAAGATACTGAGAATTGTGCATCAAATGGTCCAATAATTGACATAATTGAAATTCGACAGAATACTGCAATTTTTATGGAAATATACACATTTGGAGAATATTCCAAGAAAAACTTGAAAGTGGACAGAGAAGATACTGAAAATTGTGCATTAAATGGTCCAATAATTGACATAATCGAAATTCGACAGAATACTGCAATTTTTATGGACATATACACACATATGAAACATTTGGACAATATTCCAAGAAAAACTTGGGGAGGCGTCCCTATTGTTCGAGGAGACACGGAAGTTTGGAGAAAGGGTTTGGAAGAAACCGAGAAACAAGAAAGCGAAAGGGAAGAAAAAGCAGGGTTGACCGATGGTGGGAAGAGGCGGTTTCTCGAGGAGACGAATGCAAAAGAAAGCGGATTTTCCAGCGGGCACGAGCGATCTTTCTCTTCGAGTTGGGCGACAATGGGAGCCGGTTGTGGCCCGATCAATCGGCCTTTTTTGCGACTCGTCGAAACGCGCAGCGATCGGATCCCGTTTTCGATGAAACGGGCCGACGCGCTCTCGAGGCCGCGGCAAAAATGACCAGACACAAAGGATCCTCCTTTGTGCGCCCTGCGCGACGCTCCGACGAAACTGTCAAGGGGAGACAGCCGGCACAAAGCGCGTTCTCTCGCCCTGATAATAACTGCACGCTCGAAAATTTTATCAAAGCGCAATCCCTCGTTGTTGTCGCAATCCCTCCCCCTCCCCCCCGGTTTTTATTTTACCCGCCACACGCGCCGAATGAATTTCCAACCAATTTTAACGACCGAACTTTGTCGTTCCTCCTTCGAATTATTAGAAAATATCGAATGTGAATTATACGTTGACTGTAAAGAAAATAGCTTAGCATCTTATCAATTACAGTTTTGATTCGTCGCAGGTTCACAGGATCTCAGGGTATAAATGTAGGGGATCGAAGCATAATTTTAACTTTTCTATTTACACGATCACGTTCGATTATGAAGTAGAAATTTTTATGGGCCAACGAAGAGGGAATTCACTTACTCGGTTCGAAACCTTGAATCCCCTTTATCGTTTCTTTTTCTCTTTCTCTCGAATTATTAAAAAATATCGTTGACTATAAAAAAGATAGCGAGAAGATTCTTAGCAACAATTACAGTTTTGCTTCGTCGCTTCCAGGCTCAGGTAAAATCACGCGATTCTTGAGGATAGATGTAAGACTTGTTTTTCTTTTTCTCACGAATTATTAGAAAATATCGGTGAATTATACGTTGACTATAAAAAAAAATAGCAACTTACAATTAAATACAGTTTCGCTTCCAGGCTCGCGATCTCAGGTATAATCAGAAAATAGACATAGGTCTACGAAGCGTAGCTTTAACTTCTCTATTTACACGATCACGTTCGATCGACGAAGTAGAAATTTTTTTATGGGCGAGCGAAGAATTCACTTACTCGTTTCGAAACCTTCCCCTTGGATCGAGATTATTAGATCGAATCGCGACGGACAGGCGCGGCGCACGAGGATCCATAACAACCCACCATTCTATTCTGATTTCTGAAACAAGAAAAAATTGAAGATCGAATTAATTCAACGACTCGAATATTATCCGTCGCGGATATCATCATCACCTTTACCTCCCCGACAAATCGAACTCTGAGAGCTCGATCTTTCGTTCTCCCCTCCCCTCCCTCCTTTGATAAACCGAGAATCAACCGAGAAACGTTGTCACGGACTTGCGAGAAACCGACTACAATCCGGGCGAACGTTCAAATGTCTCCAAAGTGGCCGGAACAGCGGGGCGGAAAGCGTCAAAGGAAACGTGCCAGCTCGAAATGATTCGAGGCGCGGGAACAAAGGAGGGGTGGGGAGGCAAGAGGGGAGCACAAAGCCCAGACCAGTTTTTAAAGGGGTTAAGCGGGCCAGCATCCCTGGTGTTGTCGTAGAACGCTGCCTACGCTTTCGACAAACCGGTCATCCGATCCGATTTTATGACATTTCACCGCCTTTACTCCCCATAATAATAATTTCGTTATTGCGAGAAGATATATTTTTCTTCTTCTTCTTCTTCTTCTTCTTCTTCAACACGTTCATTTGGGCGGCGTTTTCTCGTTTTCTCAAGGAAATTAAGATTTTTGTGAACTTGATCTTTTCACTTTGTGTTTATATTTAACAAGGTTACCGATCGAGTAACAGGAATGTAATTACATTATACATAATAAATTATAGGATATTTTATGGATGGCGACATACAAGTGCAACGGTAATTTTAAAAAGAAATTCAATGGAATAAGCGTTGAAATATAAATACAAAATATACATTGGAATTTAAGAACTCTTTGTACAATTATAAATCTAAAATTATACCGTATGTGATATAATACAGAATTGAAGTTGGATGGAGCCAATATTGGAGGCTCGTATTCGGAAGATCGACTTTGGAAAATCTCCGAACGAGGCAGGGAGCGAAGAAGTAGAAGTGATAACGAAAACTAAGAACTGATATATAAACATAAATATACCCCGACTGAAATTTTATTTTAAAATATACAAAATAAAAATATGGGCTCTGTGAGAAAATCGAACGGAGTCACGCTTGGCGACGAACGTGTTAAAGAAACGACGATTTGAAAAAAATCATTTATCGAGAGAAAGAAAGCAAGGGTGAATATTTTTCACGGGAGAGATCATTGTTTCCTTTTCTAACCGCGTAATGTTTCATTGGTTTTCTCGCCTCCTCCCCCTCTCTTTTTAAATCCAATCGCGGGGAACACGAGTGAAAAAAAGCCGCGGAGCTAAAAGGGGGTGATCAATAGAACGGGGGATGAAAAATCGCGCAAACTTGGGGATTCGCACGCATTCCAACAACGGGACGAGGAAGATAAGCGCGGTGGTGGAAACGAAAACGGGTCAACTGGTCTCTGTTGAAAAACGTGTAACTTTGGTCGGATGCATAATTACTTGCCGCTATGAATCCTAGTAATTTTTGCATACGCGTTCGTCCCCCCTGTTTAAAATCATGCTTCCCGTGTGTGCTCGAATTCATATTTTTAATTGCGTGACAGGCTAACGCGAGGGCGGTGGTGGAGTTGCGTTTCTAGATTACTGAGTTTTTTTTCTTTTTTTTTGAAACGTTTTTCGAATGTAAAATATGATTTCGAAGAATTGAAAATTTTCTCTTTTTTCCTTTCTTTTAGAGTTTTTAAAATATTCTAAAAAAAGAGTGAAAAGAGCGGCGCGAGGAAGCGAGATCGACTTCGTGGGAGCGCGATTATCATCTCTTTCAAGCGGTTCTCTCGTTTCGCAGCAATTTTTTTCAGTTTCAAATCTCACGACGAAACGATTCATTTTCTGGCAACTGGTAGTTTAAAATTTAACCTCGTCGATAAGCTGCTTTCAATTTGATAAATAATTCCGCTCCGACCAAAGTTTAACCAGCTAAAGTTTGACAGAAAATTCGATCGCGCGGAGTTGCTCAAAATTTTATCGATCATTTTTCCATCGCACATTATCAACACACTTGACAGGCGAAATCTAATGCAGCAATCTCGTTCTAAAAAATAACAAGTGCTAATTCTATCAAATATCGAAATAAATACAAATTAAAAATACATAATGCCTATATCAGACTCTCCTTCCTTCCATACGACTCGAGAGACAGTGGCAACCACTCGTGCCAAATAAAGAAAAATTAAAAATAAATACAAATTAAATATATCTGCAAATTTTATGTCTTCGATCTAATTTATTCTAATTTATCAGATTCTCCATCCGATTCGGGAGACTGTGGTAATCACTCGTTACCAAAAAAAATTAAAATAAATACAAATTAAAAATACAAATATCTCTATATCAACTTTCCTTCTTCCATACGACTCGAGATACAGTGGCAACCACTCGTGCCAAATAAAGAAAAATTAAAATAAATACAAAAATACGTATCAATCGATGCTTATATATAATTCTGCAATTTTTCGTCTTCGATCTAATTTATTCTTATTTAAACTCTCCTTCCTTCCATACGCATGTAAAATAAACGAAGAAACGGATTAACAAATACGGGACAGTAGAATCACTCGTGCCATATGGA